TACGAAGGAAATTGCTCCAGTCGAAGCGTTCCAGGGAGAAATTATGCTCTAAAAAAGTGTCAACCCTTTCCTCCAAATATGAAAGAATACCACTCTGGACTTCGGAAGGCTCGAAACTGGCCAGACAGGAATGGACACCACCGTTCAGGTAGTTGAGGGCCACCAACACCAAAAAGAACCATACTCTTCGACGGTCTCTCTTCTCGATGCTCTGAGCGAAATCTTGCTTGCTGGGCAGGGGCAAAGGGAAAATGGAGGCTCTCACGTGATCTCCCTCCGCCATAGTCGCTTCTCTACCCTTGCAGAACGAAGATACCAAACTACCCAAGCCACAATCGCTACATCTGCCCAGCAACAAATCGACAATACCCAAGACCCAATCCTCAGAATAGCATGAGTCTGAGTCAATTTCTGATCCAGGGTGCCTTCCATCGACCGCCGGGGCTTTGCCCGACTTGCCTGTGGCCGGAGCAGGGCACTCCACGACAAGGACAGAATCTACACTCAAAGATTCCAAGTCGATCAGTTCGGTTTGGTCGGGTCGGCTCGTGTTGCTTGGCTGGCTTTTCCGCCCCCCTTGGGGGACTTCCCATCCCCTTTCTTTCCATCTCCCTTTTTGGTTTTCCAATCCTCCTGCCACCTTCCTTTTCCTTTCCCCGTGTCTCGCTGAACTTTCGCTTCGTGGCGAAACTCCCTGGCTGCGCCCTGGGCCTCCGCCACACTTGTGATCATCTCTTGCTCCAAAGGGACCAGCTCTAGATTCTGTGCCACGGCCCAACTCGCTCCCCCTAGCACCATCTCTATAGCCTTGACCCTCTGCATGATCAGGTCCATGGCCCCGAGGAAATCCCGCTGAAGGAGACGATCCATTGTATAACCCAAAGTCAGCAACTCCCTCTTCTGAGCTGGGGGTACATTCTTCACCGTCACATGCAACCGAATGTATCGAAGGAGAACCGGCTTGATAATACTGCTGTCCTCTTCTCCCAAATGCTGCACCAACAAGCGGTTCATCTCGTCTATGGCGTGTCGGGTTAGAACGCCGGGAATCCTCTTTGCCAACTGCTTTACTCTGTGTCCCTCTCTGAAGGGGTGACCTGAGTCTGCTGAATCGATGCTCCCCCCACTGCTCCCGCTGCTGCATGCTGAGTCTCCGTTGGAGTTGCTGCTGCTGGTGCTCCTGCGACGCCTCCGCCCCCTGGACTTTTTCTTCTTCTTCCCACGTTTCTTGCTCTTTCTTGCTTTGAGGATTCTTCGCACACTGAGCTTTGAATCCAAGGGGGTTCCGACGAAGGAGAGGCACCCTGTTTTCATGTTCTTCTGATCCTCTGGACCTTTTTCTGGTGGGATGGGATCCTCTGGCTTCGCGTCTGGGGCTCCTCTCTCTGCTATCTTCTTTAGGTCTGCTTCTAGATCTCCTATTCCCCCCGGGACGGGAAGTTGCAACCCCTCTAGATTCCCAGCCCATAAATCTCCGGGCGCCTCCAAGCGCACGGTCGTCCCGTGCAGAGAACCTCGAGCCAGAGCGGTTTTGGTGCAATTGGCGGGGCAGAGATGGATGCTGACTTCTGCGGGGTTCCCGCTGGTGATGGTGCTCTCTGCCCATGCTTTTAACTCTGGGTGATCGGTCCCTCTCAACAGAACCTGGGCATGTTTCCCCCCTTTTCCCATCACGATGCACTCTAATCTCCCTGCCACTTGACATGGCGAGCCCCAATAATCACCCTCAAATACGTATTTGCTCCCAAAGTCCCAAATGGAATCAGGCACCGATGATATAGCCAAGCTGTCTCCACGCTGCAAGTGCCCACGGTAATCGAAGTATTTACGTACCCTACCTCCTAAAGAAGGAGACGGGGTTACGGGTTTCCTGGCACGACGTCTTGGGCCTTGTGAGAGTGGCCTTTTCAATATGCTCCTAGGTGGCATAGAAGACCCACAACCTGTAATCCCCGAGATTTGTCAAACCAGCCCGGCCTCAATCCACGTCAGAGCCGGAAGTGGAGCGATCCAAGCGATCAGTGTAGCCCTCGCGACCTTTGCGAACCTTGTACCGCAGATCCTGATACTCCTCCCTCTTCTTCCCTTTATTCTTCTTCTTTCGCTTCCGCACGGGAAGCCCAGATGCAGCACTATTGCTCGGCGGGTCACGGGAGCTACCACTAGCTGGGGCACAAGGCTTTGGAGTTTCCTGATGGGATACATTAACAACATCCGTCCACCTGGTGCCCGCGGGCGGATCTAACAAGAGAGGACCCTCCAAAGCCCCACCAGACTTTAAGTTACGGAGCTTAGCCTCACACTCGTGAAGAATAGAGAGCGTCTCAGCTTCGACCTTCAGATCCAAACGCAACGAAAGCCCCCGAACCCGATCCAAGGCTAGGCACACCTTACAC